TGTATTTTCCAGGGCAGACACCCTGGCACCTGAGACTGACGATCTTGGGCAAAACAATCAGGGAGCAGAAGAAACAACTCAGATGCCTCTGGTGTCCCAGATAGCTTCCCTGTGTGGCAGAACCAACATCATAATATTATGCTGCGGTACATGCGATATCTTCCTGGTAAACAGTAAGCCAAGTTTATTTAGAGTCAATGTTGCCCAGAATCTTATAGCATCATAACCTTTAAATAAATTACAACAGCTAGACCCTATGAGAATGCCTCTTGAGTTTAAGAGGTCTTTCCTGCTGGCTTTATGGATTCAAAATAACCCAACTTCCTGGAAAAGAACTCTAAAAATAAGCCACTAGAAGTATAAGAGCCATGGAGAGCATGGTCATCACCATCCCTCACAGCAGAAGGAGCCACTGTCTGAGGACCTTGAATATAGAAATCCTACCTCGTCCAAGTTATTCCCATACTGGAAATTACTCCCTAAATATTCCCATATTGTGAAATGAGAAACGTGAGAATTTGAGAGGCTTAGCAACTTGCCTGAGGTCAGTATGCAAATAGAAAGTGTCAGGCCCAAGATTTACACCAGCACCCAGTGCCTCACAAGTTCACTCTCTTCCTGCTCTCCTGTATTATGGGAGAAGGGAATTCCTTCAAAATAATTGATTAAATACTAGACTAATTATGTAAAATTTTTACATATCAGTCAAAAAAATTTAAATAATATCCAGTGTTGACCAGGAGATGGTGAAGCCAGCACTCTCACATTGTCAATCATGGCACAAACTGACACAAAGCTTTTAGAAAACAACATTGTTATTTAAGTGGACTAACATATGTGTATGTTTACTGATGCTACTTTTAATAATCAATCACAAGAAAATTCTCCAAACTTTGAAAGTGCCAAGTGTAAAGCTGTTCATCGCAGAATCATTATGAATGAAATATAGAAGCACTCCAAGTATTCAAGAGCAGTTGCTAAATATTCCTACATATGCTGAATGTGACCTTCATTCAAAGTGATCACTGTGGCCAGGTGTGGTGGCACATGCCTGTATTCCCACAGGCTCAGGGGACTGAGGCAGGAGGACAGCTTCTGCAATTTAGAGAGGCCCTATGCAACTTAGTGAGACTCTGTCTCAAAATAAAAATTAAGAGGTGGGGATATGGCTCCATGGTTAAGTGCCCCTGGATTCAATCTCCAGTACCAGGGGGGAAAAATTGATCACTATGTATTAAGAAATAAAAATGATATTAAGCTATCTGAATTGTATTTTTAAAAAATCACAATAAAATAACCTGAAGGGTAATTTCTAAACCTCTGCTTGCTAAATTTCTTTGGAATCTGGCAAACTGCTATAGTTAAAGGTGATTATTTTCCTAAAATTAAAGGATATGAAGTTGGTCACCTGTAACTTTTGCCACTACTTGCTGTTCAGAAAAATAAAATGATCTCAAAGGTTTAGTACAAAGATTTAGTATAATGATTTAATACAATGGTTTTTATATCATCTAAAATGTAATGATTTGCCAGCAGAATATGAAGAAAGTCAGAGGGATCTGCTGTCACAAAATATCATGGTAGGGGGGCAAATAAAAGCCTTAGCAATTCACCCTTCCAGTTATACGGAAAAAGAAAACTATCATTGAAGAGGCTTACCACCTAAAGTCATTGGCTACTGGGACACCACTTCTTAGCATCAAAGCTGTGCCTCCCAAAAATGACACGTGGAGACTTTTCCTCATTAGATTCATAATACCAGGTCAGTCTTAAGTCACAACACTAACAATCAAGTAGAAGAACCTAGAATAGTCATGTTTGTGATTTTAGGAAAATACATGGATGTACCACACAATCTAGATCAATGTCAACCTCTTAAAAGGATTATCATCCTTCAATTAGAAAACTGATTAAAATTAAGTTAAAAATGTCAGTGGTTACTCAGTCAGGTGTTACACAACTCTGCCCATTTCTACTCCAAGGTCAAAGGCTTTGTCAAACAAGCCCACAGTACTTTCTATTTCTTTCCTCAGATAATCAGGCATAAATTTGCCATTCTGATAAACTCTGTCACTGAAATAAGGTACAATGTCAGTCCTACAACCTAACAAGGGAATAAGCCTGATGCTACAGCATTTCTCTATAGTAAATGAAGAATACATCGAGGGTTATAATCTACTATGTCTGAGAGAAATATTCTTATCATAGTTCATATGATCACAGAATTGAGACATGACTTAAGATTGTCTTTCTAAGCTTGATATTTAATATAGAGCAAAACAGGTGAATTAGATTAATTTAACTAGCCACTTCACTGTGCCACGTATCTACAACAGCACACAAAGCACAGAAAAGTCAAACACAATAATACTTAACAAAAGACTTGTTCAAAACTCATATTTTGAGAACTATAAAATATTTCAGAAATCAAAGAACACATAAGTGGAAAAACATCCTATATTCATGGATTAGAATACTTAATAGTGCTAAGATGCAGTAGTTTGCAAATTCATCTACAGATTCAATGCAATCTCTATCGAAATCCCAGCTGATTTCTTTACAGAAGTTGATAAGCTGGCCACAAAATTCATATGAAAATTCCAGGGGGACCCAAAAGAGCCAAAACAATCTTCAAAGAGAAGACAAGGTTGGATCACTCATGCTTCCCGATTTCAAAAACTTGACTACATCACAATAATCAAGACAATGTAGTATTGGCAAAGATAGATGTATGTAGATCCACAGAATGCAATTTAAAGTCCAGAAATAGATCCTCATGTTTATAGCAAATTATTTAAGACAAAGATGCTAAAACATTTTAATGGAGGAAAAATTTTTTTTCAACTCATATCCACATGAAAAACAATGAAGTTGGATCCCCTACCTCACACCATATTAAAAAAAAAAAAAATGAACTCAGAGTTTATCATAACTTGGTATGTGTGAGGCCCTGGGTTCAATCCCCAGCACTAAAATAAAAGCAGAACACCTCAATGGATCAAAAACTTAAGTGTAAGAGCTAATAATAAAATCTTAGAAGAAAACAAGCATAAATCTTCATGACCTTGGATTAGGCAATAGTTTCTAAGATACAAAATCAAAAGCAAAAAAAAAAAAGAAAAGAAAAAAAAAAAAACAGATAAACTGGACCTTGCAAAAACTTTTGTACTTCAAAATACTAGCAACAAAGTGAAAAGATAGTCCACAAAATGGGAGAAAATATTTACAAATCATATCCCTGACAAGGGTCTAATAACCTCAAAATATAAAGAACTCCTATAATTCAACAATACAAATGATCCAATTTTTTTTAAATGGACAAAGGATTTGAATAGACACTTCTCCAAAGAAGATACACAAGTGGCCAATAAGAACAAGAAAAGATGCTCAACATCATTAGGCCTCAGGGAAATGCATATTAAAACTATGAGATACTGTTTCATAGCCAGTAGGATAGCTATAACCAAAAAGACAGAAAATAGCAAGAAAAATTGAACCCCTTGTAACACTGCTGGTGTAAAATGTAAAATGATACAGTATCTTTGAAAATAGTCTGGAAGTTTCTCAAACATGTTACATACAAAGTTATCACATGATCCAGCTCTCTTGATAATGGTTAACTGATTTTCCAGCATAAACAAAGCTATCTTTTTCTTCTAAATGTTAGTATGTGCGAGAAATTTTTAAAAAAGAAAATAAAAACCTCAGTGTACATAGAGTAGTTTCTTTTGATTTTTAAAATTAGAACCATATATACTCAAACTCAGGCTATTGAGGACCTTTAGAATTTAAATCATTCTGCATGGCTGTCTTTTCTAGCTTCAAGAATTTACAAAAGGTTAACCATTTTCATAGCATTTCTCACATTGCTCTGCCTTATTAAACTGAGTGTGTTTGGTGTGTCTTCAAAGATTCTAGTTATTCCCTGTGCACTGTCATCTGCCCTATTTTCTTTACACAGGAGTCTCAAAAATTTAACTTCTTGCCTGGGTTTTCCTCACTAGATTGCATCCTTCAAATCAGACCTCATGTAGCCTTCCTGCCTTCCTAGAACTTACTGTAGTTGTGATTCATGTTTATTAGCCAATTCTTTGATTACCCTGTCAGCTCCCTGAAGACAACACCATTGCTCATTTTGGGCTCACAACTGCAACCTGATCTGACATTGTCAGAGACAATGAATAAACTATGGTCAGGGTGCTGTAACAGTGCCCTCCTCTCTCTCCTGATTTCCTGCCCTAATCTGCAAAGGACTTAGAATCCACTGTATGTAAAGATAGAGACTGCAGAATAGTACGTGGGGGACCTGATCAGATGCATAGAGTATATACAAATTACAGTGAATCCACTTTGTGAAATCTGACTTTGAGACACAAAAGTTTTTGATTCTATGTGATTCAAATGACTGAAGTTACAGGCCACTGGAGAGAGATGTGTGCCCAACAGAAAAATGTAAGCTGCTGAGCTGACAAAAGGAGCTAAAACCAGATTTGGAGACTATTCAGCAATTTAAGATTAAGCAATTTAAGATTATCCAATTTGGATATCCAATTTGGATAATTTGGAAAAAAAATTTGGATAATTTGGCAACTGGCATGAAGCTATAAGACACTACAAGAAAACCGTGAGGACTCTGCTTATCAGTGTTTCTAGCACATAACCATCTTCCAATTACTAGTTAAAACTAGCTGCCATATTCTACCTAGGGAACTTTCAGAGTTCATATGAACCATATTAACAAAATCATTTTTTTAAACTGAAATTACCCATTATTTATAAAATGTCCTTTAACGTATCAGGTGTCTTGTCAATCATGTTCCCCAAATATTAACAATCTGCAGGTCCACATCACAAGCAGTTATTTATACCTCAAAGTCTAAAATTCTATTTATAAGCATACGAGTGAGCAATTGCTTTAAATAAATTTAAGTAATTTTAATGATAACATGACTTAATAAAAAGATTCTTTTTCTCCATCAATATTTAAAGTGGTCACTCACCTGTATTGAAAGCTGTAAATAGGTTTTTTCTTGAAGGACCTAAAACATAAAAGAAATATATGTAAAATGCACATATATTTTATTGGAAATACCACACAAAAGCCAAACTATTTTGTAATAAGAATGGTTTTATTTTCAAAAACAATCCATTAACCTAAACTTTAGGTTTCAGGTAAGAAATACTACTGAGATGAAATCACTTTTTATCAAGCATGTTTTAAGTAAATGATATTCCAAGTGTAATCCAAAATAATAGTTTAAGAGTGATATGAACTCATCACAAATTACAGTTTTTAAGTGGGCAGTTTTAATGGGCCAAGCCACATTATTTTTTAAAAATCAAGAACAGCTAAAGTTCATTTTTTTAATGTCACTGAACTATGAAAAGTAAATGGATGTGCAGATTATTTAAAAAACAGTACTGAATGCACACATTTTCTAAGCACATAGTATTATCTCCCATTGCTATCAGGGCAAAGGGGCCAGACTTTTTATAAAAGACTAGTGTGCCTTCTCAAAGTGCCAACTTCTATTCAGTTGTGAAGAAAAGCACACTTAATGCATTTTCTCCAAACTGATACAGTATAAAATACAACCAGGAATGGCAACTGGCAGAAGAAAACTGCGAGGACTCTGCTTATCAGTATTTCTAGCCCATAACCATCTGCCAATTACCAGTTAAAACTAGCTGCCATATTCTATCTAGGGAACTTTAGAAGATGATTATCTCTTCAAATATGTGACCGTTATAAATGGAAAGCACTGATTCCCCTTCAAATCAAACCTCTGTGATATAAAACTTATAAATTCAATGGTGAGGTACTTCAGAATACTGGAGTTCCCTGGTCCACAAAATCATCAGGGGAAGCTCTAAGTTTTTTTTTTTCTGAAAGTTACCACAGTATCAGAGTTTGACAGTTGTTTTTTTTTTTTTTTTTCAGTCACTGTTGTGCACATTATGGGGTTTTATCATCATCAATAAAAACTACAATTCACATCCTGATGCTATCCCAGGAAAGGGCCATTTGACGCCTCAGAAATGTATTTAAGAGCATGGACAAATGAGAAACGGATGGCACACTCAAGAATTTTTGTTCTAATACTTGCAATTGTCTCTTCAATTAGGTAGCAAGAAGAAAGTGTTGATAAACAGTCAATAGGTCCATTACCTTTAAGTTACCACATGATCACACACACACACACACACACACACACACACGAATACACGGAGATATATACATACAGACACACACACACACACACGCACAAATACACTAAACTGTTCAGAATGCTGAGCAATGGATACTCTCATACTACTGTTAGAGAGTAACTCCTTTTTAGAAAGTTACTTAGAAATACATACTAACAAAGAGATTCATACAGTTAAACCTAGTAATTCTCCTTTCAAGAATATCAGGAGGAAGTAATTAGAATCTGAAACAATGAGCAATGATTCATATTGAAAGATGTTCATCTCAGTATTATGTACCACAATAGAAGTCAGATACTATCCAATATAAACTAACTAGACCACCATACAATGGAAAGTACATCACCATTAAAAGTGAAAGAAACTCTCACAATATACTATTAATTACTAAAAAGCAAGATACTAAAGGATGAATACACTATGATCTTGATATTGTTGAAACAAAAACAAAACCTTGTTTATATATATAGGAAAACAATTAGAAGGAAATGTAATGGTAATTGGTGGCTGACAGAATCAACAAAGACTTTTCATGTTTCTGTTTTCCAAATTCTCTAATATAAAAACAGGTCTCATTTTGTGGGTTGATTCTCTCATTTACATTTATTCTTTCAGTTAAGCAATCTTTCAATTCACTAAGAACAAAGAAGACTTTTTTCTGATTTGTTATATATGACAATGGAATGTCACATTTCGTATTACATATATAAAGCACAATTGTTCATATCTCTGGTTGTATACAAAGTATGTTCACACTATTCGTGTCTTCATACATGTACTTTGGATAATGATGTCCACCACATTCCACCACCATTTCTAACTCGGTGTCCCCTCCTTCCTCTCCCACCTCCCTACCCTATTCCTCCCATCTCCCCCTCCCTATCTCATATGAAACAGCTTGATGCTGTTTGTTTTATTGAATCATAATAATAGCCATTACTTATCAGGTGGTTAGTATGTGCCCAATACTGTTAGAACAAGGAAGACTTCTGATGTGTGTTATACCCACTGTGAGAAACTTATGTGAAAACATTGCATGTGAAGTATATACATGTGAAGAATATATAAGCATGTTTTATAAACCCAAAGAATTATTCTTAGCAGCTACAGCAATTATAGTGAGTGACATAGGAAAGATTAGAGATAAAGAGCAGAGAGAAATGAACATGGTCTTGGAACAAAGATAAGAAATTAATAACCATGAAACATTGACAGACAGAAAGCAAATCAAATTTCTACTCCTTTATGTCTCATGCTCTAGAGTGTTACAATAATTTAACTCTTAACTTTTGCTACTTTCACCTTATACCCTTCTTTTACCTGTGGACTTTTATATAACAGGTTTTATTTACAGAACCTACTAAATCTCATAACAAGAACAACTCTCTCAGTGTCAAATGTATTCTATCTCTTTATTCAATACCTTTTATTTTTAATGCGAAATATACCATAAACCTAATTGTCAAATTTTAACTTCCTACAAGTCAAGGACTCTACATGTCTTACTCTCCTTCTATCCATACTAAAGACCATACCTTTTGGAGGAGTTTTTAGCAAGTGCACATGAGCTCTGGGTACCAAAGGCTTCAAATATAAGGATCCTGAGCCATTCTGAAATGCTGGTTTTGGAGGTTTCTCCTCATACTTGATGGCAGCAGCATTACCAGCTGTAATAAAATAGAAAAGTACTTTTCATAAGTAAATAAAGTATCAATCTTTCACAGTTACTCCTTCTTCCTTGAATCAACAAATGCTCATTGAGCACCTATAATGTGCCGGTCATTACTGAGTGTTGGATATACAAAGGGAGTTCATGTTTTCAATCTTGTATCTTCAAGGACACAAAGTAATGCTATAACCAGTGTGACCATACATTCTGGCTTGCCTGGCATTATCCAAGTTTATGCATCTTGTACAGTTCAACTTTCATCCCAGATAAAAATTGGGAGGTAGATTCTATGGCTACCCATGCTACGTAACAATCATGCCCAAGGTGCAGACAGGAGAAGCATACATCTCCACAGGTACAAGGCAGAGTACAGCTAGCCAGCTACATTAATGACACAAGAACAATCAGACAAAACTCTAAATTCCAACATGAGATCTGGTTATGATCCCTTGTTGCTGCAGCAAGAATCTGAAATGCCAACAGCTGATCTCTTATAAAGGTGCCTAGCCCCAAAGCAAAAAAGATCAAAGGGACTCCGACCTAAATAAAAATCACCTTCTATATTACATGGAAAAGTTTCTCCTCTACCAATAGACTTGATTTTTTATTTTTATTTTTTAAATTTGTTTTAGTTGTAGATAAACACAATATTTTTATTTTATTTATTTATGTGGTGCTGAGGATCGAACCCAGTGCCTCTGCATGCGAGGCAAGCGCTCAACCACTGAGCCACAACCCCAGCCCGATTTTTTATTGTTTTTAAATAATTTTCAACATCTAATGCTACTCTGCTATTCGGCCCTATGTTAACACATTTCTTAATTACCTCTTTGATGCCTTCCCTCACCTTACACTTTCAGCAAAGGTTAAGATGTTTACCTTGTTTACAAATACATTATCAATGTGAAGATAGCTAGAAAGTTTTTGTAGGCAAAACTATCCTAATTCCTACAATAGTGCTCATAACTGTCACACTGGAAACTTGTTAAAAAAAAAAAAAAAAAACAATTATGCTCCCCTGATCCTCATCCAATTCTTGTACAATAAGCCGTCTGTGAATTCTTCTTGTGCACAGATAACTTTTCTAATATTAGGTCAAATCACTCAGAGCCTTCCCTCCTGCTGACAAGCTACTGTCACTTTCCTGACCTTTTCTCCAATTCTCACCTTCCCCAGCACCTAGAGCCTGTTTTTCCAAAAGTTGACAGGAAGCTAAGGGAAATGACAGACCTAAAGGTGCTACTACTGTAAAATTCAACATCACTTTCTAGTAGATGTACAGGGAATGTTATAGTCTTAAAATGACAGACTCAAAATTTCATAGGTTATGTTCTAATAAAATGGTTATCAGGCTTCAATGAGCATTCCAGTTATTGTAAAATTGAATCCAATAAAGGAAGAAAATGATGTTATTAGAATCTTAACCATGATTAATAACAATTAGGATTTTAGTCTTGCTTTTCTGTAAGCAATTTTTGTTATATTTAGCAGCAAACAAATCAAGCCGCGTGTTCCATTAAATTTATGAAAATAATATAAAACTGTATGATTCTGCATTCATGCTTTTCTTCTCTAAGCTTTAGACCTGCACTTCGCAAAAGAATTTAGTAAAAATATTTCTTACTGAAGCAAAGGACATATTTGTCATGAGGTGTGACATTCATGTCTGCTAATTCTCTATCATATGCAAAACAAGCTCAATACAACAGCCCCTAGCACCAGATCCCTCATCAGCTTTGGGACATACAAGAATTAAAACTCATATTTCAAGCATAAAATGTCTGCATCTTACTCAGATACAAACACATTTGTATCTTTATGGCTTACTTACATATTTAGGTAAAAATATACATATATACTGTATGGTGATCCATTATATATGCATCCCACTTAGTGAGGCAAATTGTTACCCCGAACATACTTTTATGACCCAACACCCAAATACCTTTCAATTCTCAAAACATTCTACTCCAGCTGGCTCTTGCTTTTAGTCAATGCCATCTTGAAGGATGAGGCATGATGCCCTTAAAATATTTCTCCTACTTTCTATTTTGGTTCCTAACATGGCAGCATGGTATCCTGATGCTATCTAAACATTTCCTCATCCAGAGTTATTATTCCCAGATGAGGAACTCTTTGGTGGCAATGATATAGTAAGAGAAACATAACCAATGTTCAAGCAATGGAACCAGGAGCTGGGATATTCAAGCTCTGGTCCTGACTTGGCCACTGCCTCCCTGTGCTATAACACATGGACCCACCAACCCATCACGGTACTCAGACCTACGAAGGCCAGATGCATCCTCAGAATCATCCTAGCACAGTGCTCCTGGGGCCTTGACCACCCCAGGACACTTGAACTGTGGATTCAATATGTGAATTCTACATGTGATCACTCAAGTCTCAGCTCTAATATGTAGTTTTAGAATTATGTTGTCATCTTTAGTCCTATCTAAATTATGCTGAAGTAATGGACTCTCTGGAATATTTATTTTCATTTCCCCAAGGCAAAATGTGCTTCACATGAAATGAGAGAGAGAAAAAAAACAATCAAAAAAGAAAATGAAACAATCTTCTCAAAGTCTAAGCAGAAGAAATAATTTTACTTTTAGAAAAAGGATTTATCAGGGGCTGGGACTGTAGCTCAGCCTAGCATGCACAAGACCCTCAGTTTAATTCCCAGCACTGCAAAGCAACCAAACAACAAAAATAACAAAAACTTATCAGTCCAGTTTATGTGTAAATTAACTACATTCTAGCATATATTTGAAATTAGTGTGGTTTTTTGTTTACTGAATTATGTATATACACACAGAGCCAACCTTCTGTTCATTTCTTGAATTTTTTTGTGAATCAGTTTCACACTCCCCACTGTGCCAGATCATCTGCCCGCCTGGCTTAAAATCAAATCACTACTGAAAGCCTAAGCTTTAGGATTTCAAAAGCAAAATATTCAACTTTGTAATAATGAGAATGTCTCACATATACATCAGAAAAACAAGGGGAACAAAAAAGTGTTCTGGATTAAATTTCCATATTAAACAGTCCACACATAAGTGCATAAGTAGAAATGTAGCTTGTGATGCAGAGCTGGCTGCCTCTCCCAGCCTCGTCACCTATGGCAGACATTACTAGTCAAACAAAGCTTCCCCTCGGAGCCTGGAAGCAGCCTGAGAAAGTGGCAGCATTGCACTTCCTGGAGATTCTTATCAACTGACCAATGTTGGCAGGCAAGTTCATACTCACTTGCCATTTTCCTGCCATGACAACCAAACAAAAAACAGGGTAAACAAGACTCCTTCTCTCTACCGGCTTAATCACCTGAACAACTCAGAGAACACCCTCCTTCCAAACTATCAGGCACCCTCTTATTGCAATGAAGGCAATAAAGTCAGTCAGACATTCGCTGCGAATGGCTTCTGAAGATGATCTAGCCCTTCCCCTCTCATTCCTCAGATGAGAAGACTGAGGCAAAGAGAATGATCATCCAACTTCACCAGAACTGGCAGGAAAACTAGGATGAGCTTGAGGTGAGTGTCCTTTTCTATGTGCCACCCCTACCCCGCATCCAGACAGCCAGGGCTAGCCATAAAGGTGATAGAAAAGAACACCTATTTCTTTATTTAGTCTTCTGATCTATTTCCAAGAGAATGCAAACAGCTTCAGTTTGCATCTCATACATTGCCCTGCACCATCTGCCCTCAAAAATAAACATGCTTTTGTGGCCGAAGTGAAAAGGGAAGGAAGTCTCTGGACTTCAGATTCCTGCCAATGTGGCAAAATTGTACACTCTCTCAAGACCTAAATTGCACAATGCTCTATAAACCTTCAACTGTATTCAACATCCAGAATATATCATTTATCCTTATCCAATTACTTTAAAGGTCTTAAAAACTGGATGCTAGGTACCTGACTCTAAAAAGAGCTTATGATATTTAACCTCAATAAATGAGTGTGTCTGGTTATAGAAACTATTGTGCAATGTTTTATGCTAATATCCAAAGGAAACCATCTTCATGACTTTCAATCTTTCTATGTTTAAAAACGTACACATATAAAATGCCCGCCAAAACTCTGAAATAAGAAAAATTATTGTCTTACACACATCTTCATTCATTTATGTTATTTCTATAGGGTCCCAAAGTACTGAGGACTAGATGCTAACTTCACAATAGCACTACACTACACCTCAGAAGTTCTTAAATGATGCTGCCACCATTTGTCACATCACAAAGAAATGAACAAAGCAAAAAAACAACATCCTTTAAAAGGGTTCAAATGCTTAAGCCAATAAGAATCAAAACATTAATCAATAGATTATTTCCTAACATGACCCTCCATTTTGAGAAGCAGGAAAATTCCAAATCAAAATTAGTTTTTGCATATCTTGAGGTAGTCTTTAAAAATTTGCACATTTAGTACTTTTATATGAAACACGTGTTAATTATAATTGAAGAAATTAATCAAAGATGTGATGTTTCAATTTTAATTGTAGTGAAGTATTTTTCTATATTTGTACAACCACAAACTACATATACAAAAGCTACTAATAAGAAATTAAACTATCAAATAGTCTTTGAGAATAGCATCATTTTATATGCCAAGAATACTGACAATGCTTCTAAATTACATTTAATAAGAATCTCAAAATACACAAAATATACAATGAAATTTGTTCTATACAGAAGTATTCACATCTTAAATATATTTAAATATGCCTAAGAAATACTATAGTTAACACAAATTACAAGTTACAAAGATAACAATCAAGAGGTCCTAAGACCAATTTATTGAATAGACATTCAAGCATGCTTACAAAGAAAAGAATCAAACCAGAAATCATCGACCTACTTCTTTTCCCAGTAAACGTGGCTAACAAAGGGATTATACAAAGGCTGTAGGATCCCACGACCAGCAGTGTCAATAAGGTAGCATCATAGTGCCTCTCTGAACCAGCCGGTGGGGTGAGTGAAGAATTGATAAAGATTTTTGAAGAAATATCAGTTTCTGTACAACTGCGAAATCCTCCTGGTACAGTCATTTAAAAGGATCAAAGCAAGCTCAATCAGGAAAAACTGCAGCCATGCTCACTCTCGTGTCCCTCATGCTTGCTCTTAGTGAATTAGAATGGAGGGGAGAAAAAAAAAAAAATCTGTGCGCTCCAAGGCACTACACAAAACAGATTAAACCAGCTAGCAAATCAAACTAAGAAAGAGACTCACTGATTTGAATGCTTAATCTGCAACAGAGACACATCGCCACTAGACAGCTCTGTGGGTGTATGGTGAACCCCTTTGTTAACAGACAAAAAGGAATGACAAAAGCATTTTACAGCCTCCTTAGGAGTGTCAGACATGGTCCTGAGGCAGTGTCCAAGCCAACATGGCTGTCGATGGAAAACGCTGGGTGACAGCACTAGAAAATGCATCTGCTTCCAGTCCAGCGTCACAAACCCTATCTCTGCGGGTACTTGGTGATTCTGTTTTGGCAGTTTGTTTTTAAAATTCACACTGTAGAACAAAGAAGGCTGGAAGGGAAATAATCTTAAAATAATACACGTGTGAATTACCTTTTCAAATTCTGAGAATAATCGGTTGCATGCAAACCCTTCTGATGTTTGCCCCAAATTCAACTAATAAATAGATCATAATCCTGTTAAGATTTAGATAATATATTCCAGTATTGCTAATGTGTTCATTTGCTGCTACTTAAATTTGTGTATGAGACCAGCTACTGCTGTTTAAGTGACTTGTCAGAAATGTGCTGTCATTATCTCAATGACTGATCCTTCATAAACCATTCTGTCACATACCTGCTGTGTGACTTTGGACCTGTAACAACATCTCTGAGCTTCAACTATTTCATATATAAAAACAAGATAACGGACGTCATTTGAGGGAAAAATATGAAATAATGTATAGTAGCCCTGCTACTATTTTATATTCAGAAAGATTCAATAAGCATTATTCCACTTTGTCCTTATCTCCTCACCAAAAAGAAGAAACTGATTTGGTCTTAAAAGGGAGAGAATCCTCCACTCCTCCCCACATGTTTGTATCTTGTTTTACCTGATATTTTGATCACAAATGTAAATGTCTTCTTTCTCCTCAATTACTTTTTAAAATTTGTTCATTTTAGTTATACATGACAATAAAATGTATTGTGACACAGTATATATGTATGGGTCTCCTCAACTACGTGTTACAGTAAGGACCGTTTCATTGATATCCTGTATTCCTCACTACACCTATCATGATGGGGTCTGGGCAGAGTAGGCACTCCAAGAGGGTCTGAATTAGTTCACAAATTATTTTGTGAGTTAATTTGAGGAGGAAATGAAAAAATAAGTGCTGAATCCATTACATTTTTCAAATGAAAAGGAAAGCTTAATTAATTTGCTTTACTAATTAACTTTTTACACAGAAAACAGAAGAACTTTAAAAATATGCTCTATTTCAATTATTTAGAATTAGGCTTGAAGTTACAGCATATTAGTTATACTGCATGAATCTAGCATCTAAAGTAAAAGTTATACAAAATACATCTACAAGAAAGTCTTTTACAATCTCTCTGAGCTCCACTTGGGTTCCAAGAGCCTCTACATTGCTATTCTTTTGTTAAACCCCAAAATACCACTGACTGAAATGATGCTTTTCAGACTCCTTCATGAAAAAACACAACAGGTGCCTCAACACATCATCATTTCAGTGCTTCAAAGCACATTCATCAACAGAGAATGTTTAATAAAGAATTCATACTCCCTGCCAAACTTTCTGAACAATTCCAAAGAAGCATTATGCAGATTTTCTCCTAAATACAGAATCAAAAATTCTACTACTTGTTTATAGAGCATTGTTTTTTAAAAATATATAAATACTGTTCCAACCACCCCCCAATTTTGACAGGAGAGCAACTTACAATTAGTGCTGTAGGTGCTCAGATCACTGTGGGTGCTGGCAATGGACCGGCTGCTTCCTGTCCTCCGCAGCACAGAACTTTTCACAGATGCCTTGGATTTGGGAAGTGGCCTAGGCAAGTTCACCCAAGATGGCTGTGCAGATTTCAAGCATGTAGGTTTTCCTTGGGATTTAAAAAAAGAAAAAAGCGCATTTCATTTTGAAAGCTGGCACATTCGGTTTTGTAAACTCAAACTTCTTCACTATCTGCAGAGTCAGAATACAAAATGAATATTCAGGATCATGTAACTTCAGATGAAGGATGAAAGCTTCACCCAGGCTTTTTATTTTCAAGGCTTTAGAGACAGAAGAGCATAAATGAGGAGGCAATCAGGCTATGAGAAGTGTGGCTGTAACCCTGCACCCTGAAGTAACTGACGTGCACGCGTCCTCTCTGAAGTAGAAAACAGATCAGAGAATCTTGTGAGAAAGCTTTCAGCAAAGTTGAAATCAAAGCAGAAACAAATTGATATGAACCCCCTCCGTACATTAATACAAAAATAAATGACTCAATGCACATGTTAGGCTACCAAATAAACTATAAAAGTGAAAAATTTTAAAGCAACCAAAACAGAAACACCAATTTGATCTGAGAAAAAATTCATTTGGAAAATGCCTAATGCCTAACACCAGGTGGTGCTACATTATTAGTATTTTTAAGATCCACCTCTTCATCTTTACTCACCAGCTTGCCAAACATACCACACCACACTTTCTAAACTCTTCCTTGTGGCAAGTTTCCACTTACTTGTGAAATATGCATGTTTCCTATCCTCAGACATCTTTGAAGGCACACCATGCTTATGCTCAGACCTACTACTAAAGGCACGAGCACAGCCCAAGCTCAAGTATTTGATCACAACTCTCTTCAAACTCATTTTCTTAAAGAGTCTCTTTTATTTACTTTACTCCATGCCTTACACAGATGAATCCCAAATTCTCACCTGCAGCACCACCCACCTGGATCCCAGTGCCACTCAGGTTTTAAATTCCTTTTTGGGTGTTTCAACTCCCATCTGTATATGCTAGATTCTAGCTCCACTTTTCCTTTTTCACAAGCCCAAAACATTGCAATGGTGTTTTTTCCTCAGATCCCCATACCATCGGTCACTCTATGCTACTAGTATCACCAAGGACACCAAGGGTAGAAAAAGACCTTTGAAGAAAATATTGTCATGTTTTACCAATGGCACCACAAGTGAGTAAAATCATGCTCATTCCCTTATCTTAGGGATTTCAGTAATAAAAATCACATCTTAATGGAGAAAAAAAAAAAACCCAGCTCCTTAGGTCAGGCGTCTGAAGCCTCCAACAGGAAGCCTCCCCATCACCAGCCTCACCCCATAGTGTTCTTGTATATCAGTGTTTGCTCTGCTCCATTCAACCCAGTGTTCTGACATCAGGATACAGATACACCATGTGTTATTACACTTGGTTGAGCACACCATTTCTATCCTTCCATCACTTCCAACTCTATCACCTTTATCTCCTGAACATGAAAATTAAGGTCATGACCCCAAGCTAAAGTTTGGGATTTCCCACTATCTACAATATGCTGACATTTTAAATTCTCTTAATTAATATTTAATTTTAAGTGCATAAAAGGGAGTCCTAGGATTGGTTTCTACCAAGTTCTGTTCCCTTGTTCCCCTGCCCTCTACATACACACATACACATACACACATACACACATACACACACACACACACCCTTATTTGTCTTTTTCCAGGTCATTCTACTCTATTCTCCTCTTATGCCCTCTGTGTGACTGAACTGGGCTCACCCAGTTCCCATTTCTGCCCTGTGAATACAGGGTCAGCTGATAATTCTCTCATAAATCCTTGCTAGGACACACTTACATCTCCACTCTAGGTCTACTGATCCATAACTTGCATTTTAACAAGGTCCCCAGATAATGAAAACACACATTAAATTTCAGAAGTGCTGCTGACAATCCTAAGGATGTTGAGCCTCTCCTGCCAGGGCACCCTTCCCTGTGAGGTCCACCCCTTGCCTTGCGCTCACCCCACACGCCTGCTTCTGCCACCAACTAATTCCACAGGTCTCCTAGACTACTTGCTAAGGTCCCTGAGAACAGGAAGAACGTCTTATTCAAATCTGTAGCTTAGACCTAGCACTGGTGTGGAGTATGGAGTGAGAACACGTGTTTGCTGAATTGACTTTTCTTTCAATGCCAAGAGTAAATAATAAATGTGGATAACGTGTTCCCTCATCATCCACGTGAAAGCATGAAGCACTGTACCCCTCTGAACAAGCCTCTTCAGTCCTTTAAAATGGTTAGCAAATATCGGATATTCAAATACCTAACTGATCTTTCATTTATATTTGCCATCAGTTTTACTAGCTTTTAGAGGAAAGGAAAAATTGATTTGGGGAATAAAAATTTACCAAACTATTACACCTTCAGCAGAAACGTTCTAATGAATTATCATCAGAAATAGTGAGCAGGGCTGGGCAAGTAACAGATTAAAATTTCCGGGGCCAGAGCTCCAATGTAGTCAAGGCTCAACAGGTTTTGAAGTCACTTATTCTTCAGAAAGGTATGCTTCACAGAACTGCTTCTGAAAGCATTGTAAGTTTACAGACTCAGCATGCCTCAGAATTACTAGAGACCTGGACCTTTACTGATTCTACACATAGCCTACACCAAAAGTGCACTTATCCCGGAGCCCAAATGTCATTCCAAGTCTCCATGTCCCTCCCCTCTACCTAATGGCAACTTGTAGTCCCTGCAAAGTCTGCTGGAAAAAGAAAAAAAGCCATCTTTATTCCATCATTATAATAAGCAATAAGGGTAGTAAGTAATGCCTTTCACCAAAAGATTAGCTCTTTTTAAATTTAGTGGGGGGTTTTGTTTGTTTTGTTTTATTAAGATGGGGTCTCACTATGTTGCCCAGGCTGTCCTTCACTCCTAGGTTCAAGTTATCTTCCTGCCTGAGCCTCCCAAGGCCTGGGACTACAGGGGCACACTACCACACAGCTCTCCTAGCTAGTTCTTTTGATGCTGAGAATAATCCTAGTGGTATATTATTATTACAATCCCAGTTTATAGATAAGAGAACTAGGTGGTTAAAGGGGTTACTTGGATCACATGTCTAACTAGTGTCAGTGAGTCAGAATCCCTAACCACCAGCCCAATGTTCCCTCTGCTGTGCACAAAAAAGCAGCATCACATTTAAAGGAAGAAGAACAAGGCTTGTGGGCAAATTCAAAATTTGAGCTCTCCCTCTTAATAGGAGAAAGCTCTTACAGTAGAATGGTAAACAGAGTGGGCATACACCAAAGACCTTAACCATTCACCAAAGTACTAATGTTTAATAGTAAAGTTGACCTAAAGTAGTTATATAAGTGGATCTCATATAAAGAAGTAGTAAAGCATACACATCATCAGCAATATTGAAAGAAAGACAAGGCAACACTGAGCTAATTGAGGGACTATATTAATCTAAGCACCAAAATCTCCAACAAGTGAAATCAATATGAAACTTCTCTTAAAGTTCTGGAAAAAAAAAAAAAAAGACTTTTATGGGTTCACATCACATCAGGTAACATATCCTGATGTAAAGGGTAAAAAGATTTAAGATCAACCTATGGATATATTATTGACCATAGTCATTTATTTTAAGCTTACACATTTGGCATAGACTTATATCCAGACAACAGATTTGTTTTGATTCTATGAATTATAACCATCTGTTGCCTGGGGAAAAAGAAAAAAACATTTGTACTTTGCCTTATGTTATAACAGAGTCTATTGGATTTGAAGCATACATGTTTTCCTCTAGCACCGAACTTACTAGGAAAGCCATCTTAGAACACCTGATTGAGAGCTCTGTATACAACAATTATGTTAAAGCACTGAAAAACTGCATTCAGCATTGGAAAACTGACTTGGCTGTTCTTTACAGTTGATAAAAAAAAATAATGGGTTTTGGAGATTCAATTATCTAAATATAAAAATATTAACTCCTATATTACCTACATTAGAAGACATAGTTCATCTTAATAAATATATAGACAATGGATTTATGTGAAAGTGTGTGTTACACAAGTATATACTTGCTTACCCAGTAAAGTAACTGTAACTAATCATAAAGTTTAAATGTGTGGTGATAGAAACACTTGACATCTTGCCACAGAAATCACTACCACATGTTCACAGGGAAAATTATAAACTGCTAGCAAAATCCTTATGTCTTTTTATTAGATATGCTGTTGTGTAGCTTGCACTCCTTGGTAGGAGCACAGAAAAAGAAAATGAGGCTGGAGAGGTGGGTAGTTTCCAGCTGAGAGAGCGGTGGCAGTAGAGGCCATGCTGAGAATGTTAGACCTTACTTGCTGGGGGTGAGTGTGGTGAGAAGATGGGGACAGAAGCTATGCAGCCTCTTCAGCACTCCCACCAGGACCTGATCATGCGGTGGTGGAATGCAGAACAGACTGAAGACTTGGAAATCAAGGAAACAAGTAAGAAAAGTCTGGGGCACCTGCCAGGGGTAGAGTGGTGGAAATTTTAACTAGACAATGGAAATTACTGAGGTCAGTTTGTAACATATAAAACTTAATAAGAAATGCACACAGCAGAGTCACTTACTACAAGAGTCAGGAACAGAAAATTCTAAACAGTTAAAATACAAAATTTAAGAATCTGTTTATAATTATAACTTGGGTTCTTTAAATGTAACCACATAGAGAAAGTGACCTTTGTAGTAATTGTGTACAGCAGCTCAGAAGTATAATAAAATTAAAGTCTACCCAAAACAATAAAAAATTAACAATTTTTGGGAAAATGAATTACAGTGGCTACAGGTTCATTTCCAACTCATACTTTCACTAACAATAATGGACATGTCTACAAACTTAGCTTCAATGAAAATGTTTTAGTGTGTAAACATTGTTTAAATAAACAAGATATGTGGCCTAGAAAATAGACACTACACAATACCAACAGGTTTTTCATCTACCAGGAAGATAGAAGAATGGTCCTTTAGCAAGGATGAACAGTTGCACATACACAGCTTTCTGTGAAGAAGTTCACTAAAAAGTGGTAATCCCATGTGAAAAGTATAAAAAATAGGAAAATAAGAAGTTTAAATAAGTATATGT